ACCCACGTACCATGCTGGGCCAAATGAACTGTCCCATATTCCTCAAAAACTCTTCTGATGTCTGTCTCATTAGCCTCAAAGGGGCCATTACGCAGTTTGATCCATGTATAATGTCTGGATACATCGATCATCCTCACACGAACAGCTGGTGTTGCATCAAGACTTACGTCCTGAAAACGGTTGACCAACGATTCATAGACCGTTGCTGAGAGCAGTTTCACAAAAAATCTATGTGCTCCGTTTAAGGCTACCCCGTACAACTCTCCATCCTGAATGCCATACGTCTCTCTGATGATTTTAGGTAGTAATACTTGGGCTGAAACTGGCGTTATTGCCCCTCGGAGAAGCTCAACGCCAACAGTGTTGATCCTGCGTCTATGGCTAAACGCCATGTTGACTGATGGTAGTTCTCCTGGTTTGACGGCAGAGGCGCGACAAGCACCACCTTACACCACTGCAGTCAGGTAACTGAGGAGCGTTTGCGCAATAGGTCCACACGGCCCGAGAGCGATGAGGACAATTGATATAGGATTAGTTGACATTAATGACATACTTCATAAAAAGCCCCTGGATATACAGAGCATTTCTATTTCCCCTCAACTTGCAGTTGGCTCTAAGGTGGCTTCTGTACCACATTCTTCCTCATCTGGTTCTCCCCTGGTGCATACCAGCTCCAACCTCAAGGTTTTTCCCATCATTCTCGTGGGTTTGTTCAAATGCTCGTCGATGAATTCTACGGTATAACAAGCAGTAATCCGGATCAAGAATGAGTCCTTGCTGTCAGTGAAGTTTTCTTGATTCCTAGTCAAATTCACTTTGATTTCTCCTTGAGCTTTATTCTCATTACTGCTGTCATATAATGTCTGACTCTTGCGGCATTTGGCGGCAACTGGTTGTGCAGCACGGCCATCACAGCCCTAGGGACCCTTCAATTATTAAAGTACCAACTTGTAATCATCCTGGATAACGCACAATGGCACTGCCTTGGCACTTTTTTTCCATATCTATTTCCTTGTTTTAGTATAAGCTGTTACTCTTAAACTGCCTATTTTTTCGGAGTGGCAGTTAACAAACATCTTAATCTGATGTACTAAGGGTTGTTAGTACTGACTTTGTAACTTAATGGTGGATCATGTTGTTACGATATACAAAGTCTATCATAAAGATAATTTGATGGCCTTTAATATGAAGTCCAGGAACCCTGAGCAGTAGGGAGTTTACAAAGCTTCGACGCTGCAGTACTTATTATTACTCTTAGATATATTACAATAGATATTTTTTTATCGACTGCTAGTGCTATAACATCTCAGCCGCTGCCCTTCACCTTTTCTTATTTAGATTGTCTTTAATAATACCGGCTGCATTTGTGTAGATAATCTTGAGGTTTGAAGTCAAACGTTGTGAAATAAACTTTTCTTAATAAAGTCCTTAAAAAAAAAACTTTGTGAAGTTATGATAACGCTCTACACAGAGCGAAATGTTGTCCTAATCAATTATTATTATTATTATTATTATTATTATTATAATCAAGGGGGAGCGCGAAACCCGTAGGATTATGCAGCACCTGTGGGGGGATGTGAAAGGTATTCAGGCTTAATTCAGGGAACTAGAGCACAGATCCAATTCCCTAGATTAAGAGCCCCTCACTAACATCAAGGAACCTTCCTTGAGGGGGGTCCTAATCAAAGCTTGTTCCCCAACGTGTGAGCTGGACGCCATTTGGACCCAGGCTTGTGGTGTGAGGCCAGGCTTCGAAGATTGCGTCGCACTTCTCGACATTATGTCAGCTTTGGGATCGTGTGTTATAGTCAGGCATGTTCATCATCCTGTGATATTTCTGAGGATATTTTGAGAGGGGTTTTCGTATGGCAGATGCAGTTTGTGTACGTATACTTATCACCACTATAACCATTAATAACAAGATGAGTTTTGAATTAAAAAAAAACATTCTTTGAAAGGGTATTATGACCTACGAAAGAATTAATAAGACAAGAGATGAGTTAATCAGAACAAAAAATAGGATTCACACTTGGACTGAGTTATTTGTGATCCACTACAATAGATGATTACACTAGTGATACATGATACACACCAGAATGGTTGTTACAGGAAATTTTTAAGAAAATTAGTGAAAAGTGGGTGGTATTTTTTTGTCAGCTAGGAAACAAGACGGGTCTTAAGCATCGGTTAAGATACAGCTAGACTACCCAATCTAGGTTTCCATCCCATTTAAAAACAAAAGATTATTACATGACAGTCCCTGCGGTAGTTCCTAGTGGGTTAGCAAAGAATATTTATGCGCAAGGTCGAGTAATCAACGCAATCGTAATATTACTAGGATTTTACTCCTATGAATGGAGCTGCTTAATCTTCGATAAGAAATATTCTTAGGAATATTCAGCCTTTAAAATGTTTCATAATGCTTCTTTGTTATGAACATGTTATTACAATGGTTCATTTTCTGGGTTATTGTCTTGATGTAGTAAGAGATGTTTCATAATGAATTAACAGGGTAGTGGTTATTTGCCAGTTGAAATTGGTTCATCTAGCCTAATACATAATAAGCAGCTTCAGTATCCGCATTATCGTGTCCATAAGAGGTGCTTAACAATTGTTTGTGCATCTGCAGTATAACTGTATAATTTTGCGTTTATATAACTGTCTATAATGTGCACACAGCTTTCACAACCTCCGTCAGGAGGCAGGTCATGGCCACATTACCCTTACCACCTTCGTCATGAGGCAGGTCATATGCACACTGCCCTTACCACCTTCGTCAAGAGGCAGGAGCCACATTGCCCTTACCACCTTCGTCAGGAGGCAGGTCATGGCCACACAGACCTCGCGACTTCCGTCAGGGAAAAGGTCATAACTACAAAGTCTTCTCCTTCTCCGCCAGAAGGATGTTCTCACGCAGTACTCGCGACCTTCGTCAGAAAGCAAGTCATGACCACAAGCCTTCACCACGTTCGTCGTGAGGTAGGACATGGCCAGTCACTCTGTCATTTATTTCTTTGCGGTTTTATCTTGAGAATCAATATGCAGAGTCATAAAATTTCTTTTTAGCTTGAGTACCAAGTCAAGATAGCCAGGTCAAGGCTTCTTCTATATCTTTTTTTTTTTCGAGACTACTTATAAATGTCTGTTTTTTAGCTTGACTGCAATACAACACTCATTTTCAGCACTCATTATTTCTGACTGACCCTGGAGTATACTGAAATTTCTTAGTCTTAAAATATTCTTGGCATTCTGGAGTCTTGTATTGGTAGTGGGAAGAGCTCCACGCTGAAGTGATGATTCAGCACTTTCAGAGGCCGATGTTTCCGTTGATTCGGCCTTACGAGTAGACTTGGGGTCCTCAGTTTCCCCTCCTCTCCCTATTCCTGGGAGTCAGTCTGATAGGAAGGGGATTGCAGCTTCTCTACCGTTTCTCTGTTGCTCCCGCAAGCTCCATTATTTATTTTCTATCGACGGTAACCCTGTATCTTAGGGTTTAAATATTTTAGGTTAGCTAGTGTTGCATGTGGCTGGGTCGAGCAGAGTTTTGTCATCAGGGGTAGGTAGGACTTATTTATTAAACTTTTGGTGTGATATTTTTGTGCAAGTATAGTTTAGGCTTCGTGGCGTACTAGTATACCAGGTTCCTGAAATAATTTTAAAGTTCATATTATGTTAACACATCTGTTTCTAAGCTGTTTTAATCTAATTTAGCTTTTAGAATTGCATGACTAACAAACTAGACATTTCTGACACCTCGAGTCCACCATTACGGCAACAAATATGCATTCTGAAATTTCCTTCCTCAGCTTGATGTGTCCAAAAGTAGGGAAAATGTAGCTGAAAGCTGGCTCAAGAAAAATACACCATGATCTGTAGAGTAGTGGAACACATTTATAAATACGGTCATTGAAGTAAATTCTTTGGGAATTTGGTAGGGCAGAAATATGTTGTAATTCGCCTGTATTCAAATAAAGAAGCCTGATAAGCGAGTGAAATGTTTCGGCAATGAAGATAATTAGGTGACAAATAACCCACACATAGGAAAGAGAAGGTTATGACTACGTTTCGGTCCGCCTTGGACCAGTTATTTCTGTATTGTTCCAGTCACAGTACTGTGCCTGTTTTGTACATCAGATACCGAAGTGTCGCACATGTGTCTTACTCATCAGCTCGGGTGTATGTCGAAGTTGTCTAGCATGGCCAGGAGACCGGCTGAACTGCAATGCTTTTCTTCGAATCCCCTCAAGGAAGGTTCCTTGATGTTGGTGAGGGGTTCTTGATTTAGGGAATTGGATCTGTGCTCCAGTTCCCCGAATTAAGCCTGAATGCCTTCCACTTACCCCCCAGGCGCTGTATAATCCTCCGGGTTTAGCGCTTCCCCTTTGATTATAATAATAATTTTCATCGAATTAGACTATGCAATATATAAGAAATGTATAAACAAAAAAAAAGTAGCATCGTAATATACCTCCTCACCCATACTGGGTAGGTCTTACTCATACTCAACCATTATCGCTCATACATTTGTTTACTCTATTTTTCAATCTAGCCAAGCTGCTAGCTTCAATAATACTACATAGCAAATTGTTCCACTCATTGGGAAGGCTCCCAAATTTTGCTGGACCCCAAATTGTCAAGAGGCTTTTAATAGTGTTCAGCGTTTCTTATGTGCTGTTCCCATACTTTTGTTTCCCAGTTTTTTAAAATCATTTGCATTACAGGGTGATGCTTCTGAGTAGAAAACTGTGGCGGTGTTACTCCAAGAAGAACCTAACCAAGTTATCTTCCAAGGAAAACTTGATCACGTTAACGTTAAGAAGCTTTAATTAAGCTAAGCCTCGTTATAATAAAGGCTTTAGGTGTTTTACGGCTTCTGTCCTACATTAACCGCTAAGTAATGAGTTACTTATATTAATGGAATACAACACCGACAAGTTCATAAATAAGACATGTGTAACATCTAGGTATCTTTATTCATCACCTAAGTAACTGAGACTTACCTATGACTGTTTTGAGTGTCCTCGGCGGGGACCAGATCCATCTGACTCTGGTGAGGAAGATGTATACTCAGATCCGCTATTTCTGTACCAGTTTCTTCTTCGTCACTTTGTCCCTGTGGAAGATGGCGGAATGGCGTAAAATGTGGCCAATTTGAAGGTAGATGGAAGGACAACAGTATTCTAAATGGGAGTACAGGTGCTATAATTTTTTTTATTTATATTAAGTGCTAACCTCCGTCGCCCTAATGCCAGACAGACACCGAGTTTGTGAGTGCAAGAAATAATATAAAATTACTACCGGGAAGGACGTATAAGACGAAAATGTTGAATACGACCAAAGTCTGGGAAGAATGGAGTTCGTAATTTTGTTATTAAACCCTTCAGAGGGCAAGGCAGACTAAAATGCGGATTTTGAAAGTAATTTCGTATGAGGAGATAGAGCCACTCGATGTAAGGTCACTGAGACCATCCAAACGGAGTTGTGAAAGTAACATCTCGGGCAATTGCAGATATTCGAAGACCGAGTATATTCGGTCCTGCCCGTTTGGGGTATAACAATTTAGAATGTTGCAAGGTTGCAATTGTTGTAAAAAACAAATAAATAATTTTTTAAATTTATTAGACAAGTAGACAATATAAAAAACATAAATGGAACTGGTTTCTGAACAATTTGTAAGCAGTTAAAAAATAGAAATAGGAACTACTTATCAACAATGACACATTGCAATGGGATACAACTTACAAATGAAATATTCCTGAGTTCCCTGAGAAAGAACAATCCTTTACATCACTAATTTCTGCAATGAAACTTTATGAAACAATTTCTATCCATCTTGATGGATAGTTTACTTTGCATGTGGCACAGGAAAATGAGGATGTGACATGATTATTCTTGTTGCTGCAATACTTGCATGTAAGCAAGTATCTTCTTCTTGTTCAATTTCTTCTTTTTGGATGGTGGCATAGCTTCCTCCTCATCTGTTGGCACCTCTCCATCTTGTGGCAAGTATTCATCATCAGTTTCCACCACTTCCAGGTCATCTGGGTCATGATCTGAGTCACTATCATCCCAAATACAGACAAATTTCGACTTATCCTTGGAGGACTCACCGTAGAACAATTTCTTATTGATCTAGAAGGACAATAAAAACGTTCTGTACACACCCATATCATTACTGAATTCATATATACACTACCAAGTTTTATGGAAATATTTATATACCGAAACTTGAAAACTACACCTAAAAGGGCAGGAACAACTGTACTTGGTCCTATTTTGTTGCACTTTTTTCATTTGCATGGTGCACTCATAATATGCTTCACAACGCCTTCATATATATATCAAAATATGGCTAAACTATTCATTTACGCACTAGACACACAAATCAGTACTTACCAACATTGTATAGGGTGAAATGCTTCAGTATATAAGGAGCACTCAACCGAGAAACATGAGTTTTGGCGCCGGCAAGGTAGAAGTGTTTACATTCTGCTCTCTCGACCAATGGGAAGCGAGCAGCCGCCATCACTGCTCAGCCGGGGCGACTCAGGGAAGGTCTGTGATTGGTCAGAAATAGAGAACGGGAACCTAGATGCGCTGGGGGAGTCGGAGGACGTGTGTAAAAAACCACGTTATGAGGACCGACTATACTCGGTCCTGCCCGGTAAAGGGTTGTTATTATAATATTATTTTATATTATATTAAACACTATACCCATATAGAATATTCAGCTGGAAAAGTGTCTAGAAGTCTGATATCCTGCTCTTGCAGTCTGGCAGCAAAAAAGATGGAGGCAAGAGCAGTGAAGGCGCCAGAGCCAGAGAGTACTTAGTTGTGATGAATGGTTTGAAAAACCGACAAGTTGAAGATTGAGACACTTATGCAGCATATGGGAATCTTTATTCAGTCCATCAATCTTGTAGAATGTACAGCATAGGGCCGTAGACGTGGCTTATATACTGTAGTGAGGTGACGTGAAGCAGATGGAGGCGGGGTCATAGTGGTACCATCCACTAGTCGAAGTAGGTCTTCGTCCAAAGGTTGAACAAGTGTTGAAGAAATCTTTGTAACAAGATCCCATGATGCTGCAGTGTCTGACAGTTGTGATGAATGGTTTGAAAAACCGACAAGTTGAAGATTGAGACACTTATGCAGCATATGGGAATCTTTATTCAGGAAACGTTTCGCCACACAGTGGCTTCATCAGTCCAATACAAAGACGAAGGCGTAAGGAGAGGAGGAGAATGAGGTAATCAGTCCCTCAACCTGGAGTCGATGTGTTCAGTCCATCAATCTTGTAGAATGTACAGCATAGGGCCGTAGACGTGGCTTATATACTGTACAGCCCTATGCTGTACATTCTACAAGATTGATGACTGAACACATCGACTCCAGTTGAGGGACTGATATCATTCATCCTAACCAATTATCTTCCAGGAAAACTTATCCGTACGTTAAGAAGCTTAATTAAGCTAACCTGTTAATAAGGCGTATTAGAGTTTTACGCTCTGTCCTACATTACCGCTAATAATGCGTACTTATTAATGGAATCAACACGACAAGTCTAAATAAGACATGTGTACATCTAGGTATCTTATTCAAACCATAGTAACTGAACTTACTAGACGTTAGTTCCTCGGCGGAGCCGATCATCTGGATCTGGTGGGAAGTGTAACTCAGATCCGTATTCTTCAACCATTTCTTCTTCGTCACTTTCCTGTGGAGATGGCGGAAGGCGTAATGTGGCAATTAAGTGAGGAAGGTACACAGTATTCTAAATGGATCCAGGCTAATTTTTTTTTATATATTAAGTGATAACCTCCAGTCGCCCTAATGCCAGAGACACCATTGGAGTGTAAGAATATATAAATTACTACGAAGACGTTATAGACGAAAATGTTGAATACGACCAAAGTCTGGAAATGGAGTTCGAATTTGTTATTAATTTTACTATAATCTTAGTTTCTATTGTATTAACATATACCCACGTATGGAAATATTCAGCTGGAAAAGTGTCTAAAGTTGATATCCGCTCTTGCATCTGGCACAAAAGTGAGCAAGAGCATGCGCCAGAGCCAGAGAGTACTTAGTTATTTATCCCAAGGTAGTCTCTCTCGCAATCAAGATTAACAACCTGTCTTTGTTAGAAGGGAAAAAAGATTAAGAAGAACATTTAGTGAAGGTCACTGGGACTGGTCAAGCTACTAAACGACACCGCGGAGAGTAAGTGAAGTAGCAAAATGAATAAAAACAAACAACTGAAGTTTATGTTGAGGAAGAGAAGCAGAAGAAATATTAGAAACTCAATTAGTAAAAGGGTACTTGGATCATGAACTGTTCAAGGCAGTGGCGTCCATTTTATAAGGTAGCTGAGCGGAGGTCTGCAGCAACTCGAGCATTATTGAGGACAATGGTTGTAAGAAGATTCCAGACAACACTGAGAAGATAGAGTGACCACACTGACGCTGACGGAGGGCAAGAGATGTATCATTCACCAAGGAGCTAGTGGAAACACCTACGCTCCTGCAGTCAAAATGACTGACAAACTGATCAATAATATGCACGCATTCACATTATCAAACTAATGAGCAACACTTGGGTATATTTAATGCCAACGCGTTTCGCCTGTAATACAAGCGTCATGAGTCGAATACAGGTCGTTAATAAAGATACCCAAGTGTCACATATCTTACTCGTCAACTTATTAGTATTACATACCATTTACAATCACATGGGCAAAATAAACAAGAGATAAAACGAGTACTACAGATTTCGGTCTAGGAAGACCTCACTGCAAGATACAAATGCAGACTTAATTCATATTGTTTGGTCTGCAAACGGAAATCTTGCCGAGCGAGGCTGTCTTGGGGACCACGTAGCTGGTTGGTTCTTACTAAGTTTGGAGCGCAATTCGAGAAGCCTTATATAAGCGCACGTGATAAAGACCGGAGAATATCAAGGAAATTATAGAAAACAAAGGCACTTTTCTGAGGGATAAATGAAAAATAATGTTACAACAGTATAGTATTATAAATGACATATAAGTTGATGGGTAAGAGGCATTTGCAACACTAAAGTGCCTTTTATTGTCGAAACGTTTCGATAATAATGATACTTAAATGTCTGCACATGTGTGTTACAAGTGTAACCAACAGTGTGACACTTCTAAGACACAAAGTGGAAGCTAAGTGAGGAGCAGTGCCAAGGTGCCACTAGTGGTAAACTTACCTATCTGCACAACCAGATATAAGCCTACCCACGTGTACCATCAGTGATAGGCCTACCCATCTGCACAACCAGAGGTAGGCTTACCCACCTGCACAACCAGAGGTAGGCCTACCCACCTGCACCACCAGTGGTAATCCTTCCCACATGTACCACCACTGGCAGGCCTAATCAACTGTACTACCAGTGGTTGGCATATCAACTTGCACCACCAATGGTAGGACTTCTAACCTGCACCACCAGCAGTAGGGAGTTGGTGGGGTGTGGGAAGAAGTTGGTTGGGTATGGAAGTGAGTTGGTGGGGTGTAGGAGTGAGTTGCCGGGGTGTGGGAGTGAGTTGGTCTTGTGTGAGAGTCTATGGGTGCGCTGGTAAAGCGTATCAGAGGGTCGTCAGTAAACACGCTAGCTGCTTCTTTCCCCTGCCCAGCCTTGCGTCTGGCATCCTGCTATCATACGTTTTTAAAGACATACATCACTCTAGCTGGAAGACCATGATCAGGGTAGTTGGCTGCTATGTAAGAAACCCCTAGCCAATTTGCCAGGTCTGATGCGTTGCTTGTAAGACCGCGTCGTAATGCTCTGATTAGATTGTGTACTGAGATTGCTACCCTTGTATCGCTGAAGGTTACAGACGTGATAGGTTAGGCTGATTAGGAGGCACTGTGTTGATGCTTAACGGTACTTCGTTTCTCCAAGATTGAGGCTACACTTGTCAATTTTCAAGAAAAGTGACTGCAGTGTTTTAATGTATCCTGCTTTACGACTTTCTTATTAGGAGTGATTTTGTCTTCGTCTCTCAAGGAGCCTATATATATAATATATATATATATATATATATATTTATATATATATATATATATATATATATATATATATATATATATATATATATATATATATATATATAT